GTGGACACGGTGGGGCCCACCGGCTGCAGACCCAGGGGCTGGTGCCCAGTCTCCTGCGCGGGGGCAGGTTAGGACCGGGGCTGAGTATTGCAGAGGGCAAGGGGGCGCGCAGGGACTGCCCTCCTGGAGCTCACCTCTCCGCTCCACGTTCCCGCTTTGCGCCTCCCGCGCCGCTGCCCCTCCCTCGGAGCTGCCTCCGTCTTTGGGGGGCGTGGCCCCGTCGGAGCTACTGAACTCGTTGGCGTTGAAGCTGCCTTTCCGGGGCCGGGTGAAGGGGGACCTGATGGGCACGAGGAAGGGGTCGTTTGAAGGGGACGTCCAGCCATGGCTCACCCGCCACTGCCGTCACCCACGGTGGGACCAACCGCGCCACGCTGCGTCCTGCATTGCGAAGAACCTGGCTCCCCCGTCGGCACCTTCCTTGCAGCCTGCGCTGCACCATTGGCGCGGGGCTGGGACATGACGCTGGGGGGAGCAGGGACATGCTGGCGCTTGGAGCTCTCAGATCCTCCCACTCTAGCCCGTTCCCGCAGGAGATGCGGAAGGAAATCTAGAGACGTGATTATTCCCCTTTATTCGGCTCTGAGGAGGCCCCATCTGGAGTGTTGTGTCCAGTTCTGGGGCCCCCACTACAGAAAGGACGTGGACGCATTGGAGAGGGTCTAGAGGAGGGTGACCAGAATGATTCGGGGGCTGGAGCACATGACCTACGAGGAGAGACTGAGGGATTGGGGCTTCTTCAGTCTGCAGAAGAGAATGAGGCGGGATTTGAGAGCAGCCTGCAACTTCCTGAAGGGGGTTCCAAAGAGGCTGGTTAGAGGCTGTTCTCAGTGGTGACAAATGGCAGAACAAGGAGCGATGGGCTCAAGTTGCAGTAGGGGAAGGTCTAGGTTGGATATTAGGAAAAACTATTTCCCTAGGCGGGTGGGGAAGCGCTGGGCTGGGGTCCCTAGGGAGGGGGTGGAGTCTCCGTCCCTAGAGGTGTTTAAGTCCCAGCGTGACCAAGCCCCGGCGGGGCTGATTGAGTTGGGTTGGTCCTGCCTTGGGCCAGGGGCTGGACGCGATGCCTCCCAAGGGCCCTGCCCGCCCTGGGATTCTGGGGTTCCATGAGGCAGGGCAGCTCTGGCTGCGAAGGGGTCCCCGCTATCCCCAGCAGGCAGGTGCGTGGGGCGGGGCTCCGAGAGGAGAGGAGTGTTTCAAAGGGCGCCCCCCTACCAGGGGTTCTGCGACACGTAGGGTTCAAAGTCGTACTGGGTCTCGGGTTCGTCCCCCCGCTGCAGCTGCCTGACGTGGGAGGCGTACTGCTGCCCGGGGTCGTACAGCTTGCTGCTCTCGCACAGCGTCTGGAAGTGCACCGGCAGGGGGGCCGTCTGGGTGTACATGATCTGGTAGAAGGAGATTGTGGCCTGAGGGGAGAGAGAGAGAGAGACTCAGGGACGGGGGCAGGGGCCTGTGAGGGGTGTTCGCAAGGGCCTTTGGGACCCTGCACGCTAGTGCCTGAGAGTCCGAGCCCCGTGTCAGACACGTGCTCAGGGACGGGGGCAGGGGCCTGTGAGGGGTGTTCGCAAGGGCCTTTGGGACCCTGCACGCTAGTGCCTGAGAGTCCGAGCCCCGTGTCAGACACGTGGCCCCGAGCGTGGGCTGCTGCGTGAGCACTCCCCGTGTTCCATCTAGCTTTGGCCTGCCAGCGGCGCTGGGAAGAACGGTATCCCAGGCCCACTCCTCCTCCCGCTCTGTGCCCCTCATTGCAGCTGCTCTTGGCCGAACCCAGCGAGATTCGGGCTCTTCAGAGCCGTGTGTGCCAGGGAGGCCGAGCAGGGCCCTGTCTCTCTGAGCCCAACTCACCGACTTGAGGGTCTGGTCGCTCTGCCTGATCACCTCGTGGATCTGCCGCAGGACGTTGACCTTGGTGTCCTCCAGCTCCTGCTTCTGGGTGTTGGCGTCCGCGATGCAGGTGCGGTACGTGGCCATCGACTCATCTGCCTGCAAGCGTCCGAGAGAGCGGGAGATGGTGGCTGCTCGGCGGGAGGGCCAAGAAGGAAAGCAAACCCCTGCCTCCTGTGCCCCATGGGTGGGCCCTGCCATCCCTTCCGCCCCGGCAGTTCTCACGAGCGTCTGGCATTCCCGGCCTTGCAGAATGAAGTCCTCAAGTCACCCAACAAGCACAGCAGCCAGGGCACTGCTGGGGCAAGCGCCCCCTACCTGTCCCCATGCAGCCCTGCACTCGCAGGGGACCACACCTGGACCCCAGAGGGGTCTCCCGTCCAATCCATTTCATCCTGGACTTCTGCCCTGGGACAGCAAGACCAGCTGGGGCGTGTCTTGCAATGCAGACGCCTGTCTGTTAGAGTACATGGGTTACAAGGCCAACGGACCGTTGTGATCCTCCCGGCTGACTTTGAGATACACCGGGGCAGAGCATTTCCCCTAAGATCCCTCCAGAGCAGAACGTTTAGAAAAACAGTCAATCTGGATGTAAAAAATTCTCAGCAACGGAGACGTCCCCACGACCGGCGTTCCCTGTAAGCTGAGCGCTGGGGTGGCCACCCAGGAGTGATTCAAATGCCGCCCAGCTCATTAGCAGAGCGCCCACCACCGCTTGCGTGTGTTTCTACTGGTGGTGCACATCCTTTGGTGCCAAGAACAAAATGTATTCCACACATGGATGGAACAGTTTGACGGAACAGTGCCCACGACCTTTGGTAAGCCGAGCCAATGGTTAACTATCCTCCTTGTTAAACACGTCACCCTTGTTTGCAGTGGGAATGTGTCTAGACTGAGTTTGCGGCCATTGGGTGATGTCCCTTCTGCCAGACGGAAGAGTCCCATGCCAGGTGTTTGTTCCCGGGGAGGTACGTATGGGCTGTAACCAAATCACCCCTTCACCTTCTCTGTGCTAAGGAAAATAGCTCGCGCTCCTTGAGTCTGTCACTGTCAGGCAGGTTTTCTAACCCTATAATCAATCTTGTGGCTCTTCTCTGCTCCCTCTGCCATTTATCAGCCTCCTTCGGGGAGCGTGGGCACCAGAGCGGGGTACGCGGCCCTGGTGTCAAGCCCCCCCCAAGCTCATTTCAGTGGTTGTCAGGAGCAGCGAATGCCCAACACAACTGGAGCCAAGGAACAAAACCCCTCATTACAGAAGGAGGATGATAACAGGGGTGATGTGTGGGGAGCAAGAAGGGGCGCATGCCCCTGAACGCCATGGGCAGGAGAGCAAAGGGAGCCTCTGGGTGGCCCGGGGATTAGCTGGTGGGGAGGTGTCTCTCTCAGCCAGTGTCCACACCCCACACTCACTGGCAGTGGCAGGGAAGATGAAGCAATGCAGCCCCAGCTCGTTCTACCCTCCGGGCATGTCGCTCGGGGAGGGGAGGGCAGAGCGAGATG